GGTTCAGGAATTGATTCATTAAGAACACTGAGTTTCAAAACAAGCTTCTTTCTCTCTGAGGCACAGCAGCCAGAGCAGAACCATGCTGAGGAGACACAGGCCATCAATTCACAATGAGCCACAGGGCTGGTGTTTGGTACAGCAGTGTTTGGTGCCTGCATCAGAAGTGGACCTTGTGGCACAGTAGGTTAAGCTGCATCTTGAGATGCCCACATCCTGTATCAGAATGGTAGTCCAAGTCTCAGCTACTCCACTTCCAATCCAGCTTCCTGCTAATGCAACTGGGAAGGCAGGCAGTGATGACAACCTAAGCACTTGAGTTTCGGCCACCCCAAGTGGGAGACCCATATAAAGTCCCTGGTTCCTGGCTTTGGCCTGGCCCAGCTCCAGCTGATGGGTATTTAGGGAGTGAACCAGCAGGTGGGAGACTTCCTCTCCCTGTCTCCTCATCTTCTTTCTCACTCTGCCTTTCAAATAAATAAATCTTTTAAAAAAATGCACATCCCATATTGGAGTACCTGGCTTCAAGTTCTCCTTGTGATGGCTCAAGTAGTCTGTCAACCACGTGAGAGATTTGAATTGAGTTCCCAACTTTGGCTATCACATGTGTCTGAGGAGGTGAACCGTTTTGTGGGATATCTCTCTGTCAGTCTCTCTATCTTTCAAATGAATAAAAATTAATAAATAATCCTTACCTTAAAAAATGAAGCCGATCCTAGGGCCAGGGACATCTTGACAGAAAGTCATAGTAATGTTCAGGCCACTTAATATAGAGTAGCTGCTCTATTACAGCACAGTGCTAAGTGTTATTTTCTTTAATCTTTATCTAATGATAATGGTTAGGATCACCATTGCTTACACTTTTATTTCAGTGCTTTTATCTGTCACTTGAATGTTTCACCCCTAGGCTTTAAAACATGCTAGAATAAAGATGAAACAAAAATAAACATGTTTATAACTATTCCTAATATTTCTATTTCTAGAAAGTTCTTTTAGATACAAAGAATGGTATAGTTCCACTATAACTAAACCCTTCCAGAGGACTTCTCTCATCCCCTGGGCCAATTTTCAGTGGGCAAGACTTGCTGAAGAGTAATTCCCCCTACCCCTGCCCACTTCTCTGGGGGAGGAAGAATGGTGCATATCCAGTCTAGTCCTTTCCAACCAGCTTCTGAGTTTCCTTGTACCTAGGACAGGCTGTCCTGGCCCCTCTTGGTGGTGGGATGCTGGGCCTGCCCTGCAGAACAAGGCCTGCCGTGTGGAGTTGTCATAGTCTGGGTGGCTAATACCCAGGCAAGTACTCACAAGAACATTGCAAAAGCTTCTTTAATCTACCTCTTCATCAGTAATCTCTATCTATCTGAGTCCTGTCATTATAAATGTGTACAGTTGTCCCCCTCTTCCATGATTTTGTTTTCTAAACTGTGGACAGAAAATATGAAATGGAAAATTCAAGAAATAAATAATTTGTAAGTTTTCACTTACACACCATTCTGAGTATCTTGAGTTGTCCTGGTGCTTCCCACCTAAGACATGGGTCATTCTTTTGTCCAGCATATCCATGCTGTTTGTACTAGTTGCCTTTAGTCACTTAGTAGGCATCTTGGTTATTAGGCCAACTGTCCAGATATCACAATGCTTGTGTTCAAGTAACCCTTATTTAACTGAATAATGGACCCAAAGCCCAAAAGTAGTGATGGTGACGATTGCAATATGCCAAAAAGAAGCCATAAAATGCTTCCTTTAACTGAAAAGTTGGAAGTACAATCAGATATTTTGAGAGAGAGACCCATTCACATAACTTTCAGAATATTGTTATAATTGTTCTATTTTATTACCAGCTGTTGTTGTTAATCTCTTACCATGCTTAATTTATAAGTTAACTATCATAGGTATGGATGTACTGAAAAAATATAGTATAGACTAGGGTACTATCGGAGGTTTCACACATCCCCTGGGAGTCTTGGAATATAGCATATGAAAATAATTGCAGGTGAGGCTGGTGCTGTGGCATAGTGGGTAAAACCACCACCTTCAGTGCTGGCATCCCATATGGGCACTGGTTTGAGTCCCGGCAGCTCCACTTCTGATCCAGCTCTCTGCTATGGCCTGGGAAAACAGTGGAAAATGGCCCAAGCCCTTGGGCCCCTGCACCCATGTGGCAGACCTGGAAGAAGCTCCTAACTCCAGGCTCCTGGCTTCAGATCGGCAGAGCTCCGGCCATTGTGGCCATCTGGGGAGTCAAACAGTGGATGGAAGACCTCTTTCTCTCTCTCTCTGCCTCTGCCTCTCTGTAACTCTGCCTTTCAAATAAATTAATTAATTAATTTAAAAAAAAAGAATTTGGAGACAACTGAAGTATAAACTCTGTCTGGTATGAGAGGTACTGTTCATTAAGCCTCTAAAATGTCAACTACTTCACAGAAGGGAATTAACTAACACAGAATGTGTGTGTGTGTGTGTGTGTGTGTACACACAAAAGCTTTGCAACATATGCATCCTGGATTCTTACAGACCTGCTCCAAATGATCTTCACTCTGGAACCCAGGCTGAGGAGCCACTCCCACCTGTATCATTGCTGATGGTGCCAGATGGGCTAAAAATCAAGGGCAGTCATTTCCACTCACACTACATTGGCTAAAGCCAGTCACATAGCCAAAAGTGAATGCCACTCAGTGGGATGTGTACTGCTCCTGCAGAGGGATATCATAGCATTTGTGAGCAACAATAGAGTCACATAACAGATGATGTCCTCTGTTAAGAATTCGTTAAGTCACATATATTCCCATCCTCTCTCTGCTCAGGAAGAATTGATGACCCAAAGAATCAGCTCCTGGATAGTATCTATGGATACAGTGCTCTGAGGTGGGGCTTCGGTGGCAAGGGGAGCAGAGGAAGTAGCCCCATTGTCTGACTTGCAATGTCCATCCATCCCTTGATTCCCACTGAACATAGCAGACTTGCCCCCATAACTTGTCAGGCTGGAAACTGAAAATCTCTATCTTCCCTTCGGTTATTTACAACATCACTGGAGCTCAGGTGGGGTGGGGTGCGAATATCTAACACAATGTAAATCAAAACAACATACAATCTAGTATCAAAACGGGGAGAAGAGTTGGTTATGGAGCCCTAGTGAAAATTTTCCTAAACCTCTCTCCCAAATTGCTGCTTTGCCTGCTTTGCTGCGAAAATTGGAAATGGAATCCAGGAGCAATGAGGTTTTGTGGTGAGAGGCAGTATGAGATGAGTGACCTAGTCTGTTTTCAGGTAAAGAGAAAAAAAAGGAGAGCCATACCTAAACCGAGTCTTGGTTCAGTCACCCAATCCTCATATCAGAAATAGAAAAAAGAGGCAGATGGGTGACATTTCCAATGAGGATGACCTACGCTCAAGTAAATAGTTGTATTAGTATGCTGACACTTGAACCATGAAAGTAGTATCTGCTCCTCACAGACACTGGGGGAGAGAGGTAGGAGGAGGGACAGAAACATTCTAGATGTCTGACATAGATCACTGAGTCACTAAATTGCTTCTCATGGTTCAAGACTTTTGTACATGGCCCTTGGGAAGATAATGGGTCTCCTTTCAAAAATTTCTGACTCCGGCCATCACTTTGCCCACCTTCTCATTCCTAGCTTGAACAAGCAGCTTCTTTGTTCTCTGCCCCAGAGTTCCTATTCTGTTCTTCCTAGGCCTGGGACTCTGCATCCTTCTTTCTTGCCCATCCTTTTCCTGGGGCCTGAAGCCTGACATGATCTCTTCTCCACTATCACTTTCAAATTAGGAAAAAAAAAATCACCACATTGAGACTTTTAAAATTGAGTATCCACTTTTCAATCTCATTTTCATTGAGGGTTAGCTCAGTGCCAAGGCTGCAACAGGGACAGTCCTACTGCAGCTCAGTGTAGAGCACCAGGGAGCAGCAGGGGCCTCAGCCTCACACCCCAGAGGGGAAGAGCACGCAACTGATGGGAGCCTTGTCAGAGAACCATGGCTCTTTATAAAAGCATAGCTTTGAAACTTCATTTTAATGTAATCCATAAGAAACACATTTTACATAGCAATTCAGTACCCACAAACATATGGGGAGAAAAGATTTGTGAAAGAATATTTATCATTCTTCTGATATTTTCTATTCTATTTCATTTTTTAAATGCTAGTAAAATCTCACATTATTGATATCGTGAATTACTCATGTTTGCCAACCTGCAGTTTGAAAAACACTGCTTTAAAGTGCACACTAATAACCATACTACTGAACTCTAGGACTGTATGAAAAGCAACATTAATAGCACATTGTCTTCATTACTAATGCTGCTGAGTGCTCTATGTGTTTCTGTGTGTGTTACTGTCATTTCAATTAAAATCTTAAAATTGCTATGGGCCATAATGCCAACATTATTCTCTAGTGTTCCAGTGAATACCAATAAAGAAGAGAAACATAAAAAGTTACTCTTATTGAATTCATCTTAACTTCCGATTTGGTGATGACTTGCAAAAGCAGCACATGTGGATAGCCAGATTTTCATTACCAGTTTAGCAGTTATTTTCCGAGTTTCAACAAACATTTTCCTCCAATGAAGTTTGGTCTAAATCCAGCTAATCTACAATTGTATAATGATGGGATTTCACCGTTCTCTCTGTTAAATTACAAGAGTTTGAAGACTGGAAACATTTCAAGGATAACAAATAGGGTTTGGAAACCGAAACTGTGCCTTTTAGGATAGCTTCAGATCCTCAGCTGTCATATGAAAACCTCAAAGCTCTCCTTTTACAGCTGGCAGGATTTTTGCTTCTTTATAAACACACACATACTCTGTCTCTTAGGAACAGGCCACCGCACAGAACACATGGAGACATGATTCTGCACCCATAGGTATGTGCACACCGAGGCGCGAGCCCGCCCAGCCCCTCGTGTCATCTGCAATCCAGACAGATCCAAGATGCTGGTAGATTGGAACCGGCCTTAACCTCTCCTCTTTTCCCCAAATCAAACCCACCGTAAACGCCGCGAAGAGCCAGGAAGCTCCACAGCTTTAATCATTTCCTTTCCTCGAGCTCCATGTGGCATACAGGACACTCCGTTTTTCTTTAGGTTTGCAGTCATCCCGCGAGGGGTGCGCAAGAAGAAAGCAGCAAATCGATGTTTCCAAAGGGCGGAGGGTGCAGAGAGAAAGCGCCATGCTCTTTGGCGGCACCTCTGCGCTCCACTCTGAGCAATCAAGAAAATCCTCCAGTTCCAGCAGGGGTTGAGAGTTGGCGCCACCTGGCTTTTTAAAGAAGAACAAGAGGTAAGAGGCCGACGTTGAAGGGAACCCGGCATCTTCCTCTCCACCACGCCTAATCTGCCGGTGGGAAGAAAGACCTGGCGCATCTTCCTCTTCCTAGCCCAGGGCAGCAAAGCGCCCTGCGGAAGGCGGGGCTATGACCCTCCCCGAAATAAAAAAGCCGGAGAATTTTCCTCGCTGCTGCTGTTAGGACGGCGGATTCCACATTGTAATCAGGTCCAAAGAGTGGAAGTAAAAAGTAACTGTAAAAAAAAAAAAAAAAAAAGGAAGTAACTGTGGCATCTCAAATATTAAAAGCAAAGATTTACGCATTGATTCGCTCCGGCTCGTTTCTATCAATCATCTATTTTGCACAAACTTCCTACAGCAACCTGTGAGGAACAACAAGAACGGAAAAAGTGCACCCCACGGTTCTGCCCCTCTGTTGCAACATTGGAAAGGAATCCAGTTAAAGGAAGCTCTTGTGCCTCGATTGTTCACACGCAGATTGGGGAAAACAAGGCCTTCAATGAGGGTCCCAAGGGACTGATGAGGAAATAAAATGAGAAAGGGGTAGGACTTCAATATTACCATTTTAGTAGGAAGGTAAATAATGCTTATAGAGAAAACGGTAACGATGTTTTCCATTCAGTGTCATAAATTTGCAGTTTTTGTTTGCTTAGATATCATGCTGGAGGGTACAGACTGCTTTATCTAGAACCTGAGCCAGTTATCAAAAAGTCATCATTTCTCCAAACTGTTCAGCATGCTTTTAAAAGGATGGGATCTAGAGAAAATTTCTTGGGAACTGTTCTTCCATAAACAAAAACACAAATATATGAATGCATATAATGTGTATGCACTAAGGGCAGGTATGAAAATGTGTACATGCATGGGAAATATTGGTTTGCTTTTATTGTAATAATGACTCATGTACATTGCCACTTGCGTTCACAAAGACCTGCATTCACTTTTCATTTAATTCTCCAAACATCAGGGGGACATTTTTACAAAATCCCTATTTTAAAGGTAAGAAAACTGAAGCTTACAAAAATTACTTTCTCAGATTTTGATGATAAGAAGTTATAGAGCCAGCCAAAGCCATCTATTCTTTTTTTTTTTTTTTTTCGACAGGCAGAGTGGACAGTGAGAGAGAGAGACAGAGAGAAAGGTCTTCCTTTTGCCGTTGGTTCACCCTCCAATGGCCGCCGCGGCTGGCGCACTTTGGCAGGAGCCAGGAGCCAGGTGCTTTTCCTGGTCTCCCATGGGGTGCAGGGCCCAAGCACCTGGGCCATCCTCCACTGCACTCCCTGGCCACAGCAGAGAGCTGTCCTGGAAGAGGGGCAACCGGGACAGAATCCGGCGCCCCGACCGGGACTAGAACCCAGTGTGCCGGCGCCGCTAGGCGGAGGATTAGCCTGGTGAGCCGCGGCGCCAGCCCAAAGCCATCTATTCTAATTCTGGGTCATTCTTACATTCAGCAAACAGGAGATGGATACCTTCTGTGTGCCAGGCACCAAAGCAGAGTGGCCACAAAGATCAAAGATATATTCCACTGCCCTCAAGGAACTCAGAGCTAATGGAGGAGAAGTTACACTCGTATGGTACATATTCTCTGTAATGAGCCCAGGGCTTAGGGAGGGCCCTCAAGAAGAGGAGACACCCAGACTGAATTGTGAAGGACAACAGCACATAGCCTGATTCAGAAGAAAGAAAGTCTGAGCCAGACGAAAACACAACATGTGCAAAGATGTGGAGACAAAAGAAGCTCGAGTGTTCAATATAATTCAGCCGCTAAACATTAGTGTATGCGTAGGGGGAGTGTAGAAAGGACATGATGAAGAGCTTTATGTAGTCAGCATTTGGGTTTTCCTGACATCTAAGGGAGAGTGAGTGAAAGATTAAAATAGGGAAATGATATTGCTTTTGCAATTGTAGAAAGATCAGTCAGCTACCATAAGCACAGACTTGAGGGTATAATAGCAGCGGGAAAAATGACAGAATGATCCATGCAAAGCTCAGTGTCCATCATTAGTGAGTCAGGATGTGATTAGAGAAAAGATGGGTAGATTTGAATAATATTTAGGAAGACCTGGTGACCGTTGCCAGGTTCCTTGCCTGCGCACCGGACGGGTGGTGATGCCATTCACAGAGACTAGCAGAACAGACTATAGATGTGCAACAAAGATTAGACATAAATTGTTTGAAGCATGCTGAGTTTTAGAAATCTAAAAGCATCCATGTAGACATTTCCTCTAATATAGAACTGAATATTCAGGTCTAGTACTGAGAGAAGAGATCTGAATTACAGACGGTTATGTCATCAGTGATAACCAAAACCATAGAATGATTAGTGATAATATTTGCCAACAGGCATTGAGTTCCTATGTATCTGGCACTGAGCAAAGCACTTTTAGTAGATTATCTCATCTAATCCTCACAATATCCTCACATAGTAAATATTATGATTAAGTATTACACAGGTAGAGGGTTTCATATTGGAGAAGAGGTCTGGAACCAGACCCTGAGGATTGCATTGAAGACAAGTGGCAGGAGAGCTCTTCCTTCTAGACTGCATAGCTGGCTTCATGTTTACCTCCAGTTTGTTGACTGCTCAGTTCCATCTCTGTTCTACTTCTATATAGGACAATATCTGAGAGTGGTTATCAGGGCTGGGCTGCTCCAAGTCCTTCAAGTCTGAAGGTAATAGAGGAAAAGTTATTTCAGTGCAGAGATTTCATCTGTTCCACTACACATTATCCTAATTGTTCTTCACACAGTCAAGGTCAACCAGGGCTAGGTGGACAGCAGGAAGGAAGTGCCCTAGATTTATTTTTCAACTGTGGTACAGCAGATTAAGCTGCCCCTCACAACACTGCATCCCATATCAGAGTGCCAATTCAAGTCCCAGCTGCTCCACTTCCAATCCAGCTTCTTGCTAATGTGGTAGGGAAGACTGCAGATTGTGACCCAAGTACTTGGGTCCCTGCCACCTACTTGGGAGACTCAAGTTGAGTTTTCCGCTCTTGGCTTCAGACTGGCCCAGTCCCAGCTATTGTGAACAGACAACCAGTGTATGGAAGATCCCTCTCTGCCTTTGTCTCCCTCTCTCATTAACTTTCAAATAAATAATCTTTTAAAAAAATTTTCAACATGGTGATTTCCTGAATCATCTTCTCACACCAAAAAGGAGCTTCCCTAACACAAGCAAGAGCAACTTTACTATCTTATTCTTAATGGTGGATGATTCATTTCAGCTCCTCCACCTTCCCGCAATACTGATACTTCAAAAGCTTGTTTTGGGAGGGAAAATGATCTGTCGAATATGAGTGAGTCTTCAAAAAGTTCATGGAATGCATATTATGAAAAAGGTATGCATGGTTTTCAAAATATTTACACCAAAATAACGTCCTTTAATTCCATTTTCTATGAACTTTTCAAAGTTCCCATATACTATTTTGAGTATTGACTTCACTTAATTTTCATCTATTTTATTAGAGATTTTTGTCTCTGCTACATTGGGCCCAAGATATGAAAAACAAATGAAACTTGCTGCTATATTCGTTAGAGACACATAACCTTCTCCTGGTGAACTTTGAAGGCTTAAAGACTTACAAAGTAGGGTTGGTATGTTTAAAAAAAAAAAAACAAAAACTACCCAAGTGAAATGGTACTGATTTGATTTTTGCTTTAAGCCAGCACCATGGGTGATAGGCTAAGCCTCTGCCTGTGGCACCAGCATCCCATATAGGCCCCAGTTTGATTCCCTCCTGCTCCACTTTTGATCCAGCTCCCTGCTAAAGGCCTGGGAAAGCAGCAGCAGATGGCCCAAGTGCTTGGGCCCCAGTATCCATGTGGGAGACCCCAAGGAAGCTCCTGGCTCCTGGCTTCAGCCTGGCCCAGCCCCAGTGGTTGCAGTCATTTGGGGAGTGAACCAGCAGATGGAAGGAAGCACACTCTTTCTCTCTGTTTCTCCATCTCTGTAACTCTGCCTCTCAAGTAAATAAATAAATCAAAAAAAAAAAAAAAAAAAAAACCTATACTCCTGAATCTGACACTTTTATATTGTGGCCCAGTTATCCTCCATATGAATCAGAAAGCTAGGTGAAGACTGTGGATGGTTTGGGTGATTGGAGGAGGTAGCCTAAAGACTTGATTGTGTTCATGTAAACCAGTCATGGAGACTGCTGGGATTCAATCTTTCAATAACTTTCTTGGAGTATGGCACTGGGCAATAACTCAAACTGGACTCTCTAGTTCTGTGACCTTTGGAAATCAATTCTCTGTGCCCCTCTGTACTCATCTGTGAGAAGATGGGGTTGAAGCATCTCTATGGTGCTTTCCAAGTTAACATTCACTGGGAGGCCGGCGCCGCGGCTCACTAGGCTAATCCTCCGCCTAGCGGCGCCGGCATACCGGGTTCTAGTCCTGGTCGGGGTGCCGGATTCTGTCCCGGTTTCCCCTCTTCTAGGCTAGCTCTCTGCTGTGGCCCAGGAGTGCAGTGGAGGATGGCCCCGGTGCTTGGGCCCTGCACCCCATGGGAGACCAGGAGAAGCACCTGGCTCCTGCCTTCGGATCTGTGTGGTGCGCCGGCTGCAGCGTTATTTGACCTAGAGTTAAGACTTTGGTTAAGTAGACTGTGTCCCACCTTGGAGTGTTTGTGTTCAATTCCCAGCTCCAGTTCCCAGTTCCAGCTTTCTGTCAATGCAGGTCCTGGGAGGCAGTGAATATGGTTCAAGTGAATAGATCCCTGCCACCTAACTTGGGAGAAATGGATTGAGTTCCCAGCTCCAGGTTCCTGGGCCCTGGTAGGCATCTGAAGAGTGAACCCGCAGATGGGAGGTTCTCTGAGTGCCACTGCTTTGCAAATTATAAAAAAGAAAAAGAAAAAAATGAGCAGTGTTGACTTTGCTGCTTCTGTAAGGTGTGGCTTATGACCTACTGAATGTTGATACTTATTTAACATCAAAGAGCATGGGAACAGAAATTGAGATTTATGGGCCATATTAAAATAAAAACCTAGATGAAAAATAATAATATATGTGTACATATTTGATTGCTATACACACACAGAGAAAGAGAGAGACAGAGACAGGTAGAAATAGATCTAGAAAAATTGATCAAGATATGCAGCCAGTGGATGCCAAAGTCAGGTCTCAGGTCCAAGTTTTCTAACTATCGGTCAAATAATTTGCCAATTGGTCTCTGTATACATCATCTACACATATGTCACCAGAAATCTGGAAGATTTGATAAGATTCATGCTTAATCAGCTCCATGTGTGGTGTGCTTCCTTCCCTCACCACCATCAATATTGTCGCGGAAAAAGCCGCATGTGCTGGCGACAGCATGGATTTCTTTTAAATGGGAGTCCTAAGAACTCACCCCTGCCTTTAATACTAACTTTGCATGTAAATTTGCTGAAGGAAAATATCCTGAGATCATTTTTCAGAGATGATGAAAGGAGTTCATTTAATCGAAGAGGCTAAAAGAGAGGAAATTAGCTGGCTTGTCCTTCCACTGAGGGCAATGTTGGGACAGTGAGCCCAGGCTGTACCAGCCATGAGACAGAGGGCACTTCTTTCCCAACTCCATTCCAGCTGTGCCTTGGGCAAATAATTTACCTTTTTTGGTTTCAGCTCATTTTCAGGAAAATTCAGAATTTAAATCGATCACTAATTATCCCTAAATTCTGAAATTTCACCTGGAGAAATTTCTGAAGCAAGCAGAGTGAACTTTCAGCCAACTCTCCTCTGCATCTCTCTGCCCCATAATTAGAAAAAAAAAAAAAGAGTGGGCTAGTGAGCTAGTGATCTAAACAACAGAAGTCGTAATAGCAGTTCATGAGGAAGAGGAGCTCTGCAACAGAGTCTTGTTTAGACTGAAACAGGTAAAAAGTGGATTGGCAGGCCGTTGCCTTCACTTAGTTCCTTCAATATTCATTTGATAAACATTGAGTAAGTTCCCCAGGGGCTAAGGCCTAAGGATCCCAGTGTATCTTAAACACACCAAGGAAGCAGTTAGCAACAGAAAAATGTGCTTTTGCAGGTAAACGAGATTGCATCATGGGAAAAGTGACCTAGCATCTGAATCTGATAATGCCTTGCATCTGCCACAGCCCATTCTGCGGTCCTGGGCAAGTCACCGGCTCTCTAGCCCGGCTTCGGACAGCCGGCCCATCTTCAAAGTCCCTTTCTGGGATAGATTCTGTTCCTGAAAGGCCTCATTGATCGCCTGGGTACCACAGCCAACTGCCTCAAGTGAACACAAGCCCTAGGTAACCTGAGTCCATAGCTCCCTCCCATTTGGGAAGAAAAAAAAAAAGGTGGGGGGCGGGGGATCCAAAGAAAAGAAAGGAGAAAAATACTGAGAAACATGTTTTGGCAGGCAAGGCCTTTGGAGACTACCATATGTGCTCCATATTGAGGAACCCTTGGTCTTTGATGTTTTTCTGAATGTAAAGGCATTATTCTTTCTCGAACTGCGCGTAAGTACTACAGTTACTAAAACAATGAGACCAGAACGCGCCGACCCGGCTCTAAGTGCATAATTCGTCCTTCACCCAAGTGCCTGCCACCGGTGGGCTCCCCAGGTTGCACCCGGACAGCTGGCAGAGCTGCCATCTCCTGCAGTCACATCCCCCTTTCGGACCCAGGGTTGTCTCAGTCCTAGAACACCTTAACGACAAGTTCGGAAGTAAGTACTTTCCCAAACGCCTGGCGAAAATTCCCCAGATGTTTCCTGTGTCACGGAAACGAGCCCTGGTTGAATCTGAAGCATTCTCACGACGGCAGGATCACAAGGCCCGCATGGCGCCCGCGAGCCCGGCTCCCTGGCGAGCTGCGGGGCGCGCCCTTGGGTCCCCTGCATTCTCCGGGTTCTCGCAGGAGAAGCTTGCAGGGCTGGAAAGGAAAGATAAAGTGGTGGTAATGGTGGTGGACATTTTATGACGTGGGCAATTATAAATCATAAACGAAAGATTCCTTACTAAATTTACACTGCCGTCTCCGAGCAATTTATTGGGCACCCACTCCCCTTCCCACCCCCACCCTAGTAAAAAACGGCCACCTTAAAACAGGGAATCAAATTCACTAGTGGTCTCGCTGGGGAACTACCCTTTCCCTCCAAAGGGCAGGATGGCCGAGGGCTAGCAGCAACTGGGGATCCCAGAAGTAGGAAGGTCCCCGTGACCTAGCGGCAGGAAGGGGCGCGCAAGCTCGACCACCTCGCGGCACACATTAGGTTCTCCAAGCTGGAGCCCCTCAGAAGTGGGCGGAGTGAGAAAGGATCGCGGGGGAGAGCAAGGCATCCAAGCTCCCGCTGCTTCCGGGTCTCGGCAAGCACTTCCGGGGTGCGGCTCTCGAGGTCCCAGCCTGCGCCTACCTGTACTAAGGGGGAAGATTAGCAACCAAGAGGGAGCTGTAACAACCGTGGCCAATAGTAACTTCGGGATGGGTGGCACGAGGGTCACCTGTAGTTGTGGTCCAGCCCCAGTGCTCAAGTGCTTCAACATCTGCTTTTGACCACCTCAGAGATAGGAAATTCCTCCTGGGATCCCCAGTGGCCTGGAGAGCCAGCCGGCGTGGTCGCTGCGCCGCTCTGAGGCCGGGCCCCGGGTTTCCTCTACCCAGAGCAAATTTATTGAGCGAATAACCTTTCTACACGTAGGTTTCCGGATAGGTCTTTGCTGTTGGCTGTCTGGGGTTAGTGTGGACTCCATCGAGTGGCCCCTGCTCACTCTGATCCTTGAGGGTCAGGAAGAGGAGCAATAATGCCCTACTTGCGCTAAACTGGTCAGCTGGAGCGGCCTTGCTCGATGCCTGGCGCCGCCTGTCTGGGAACGAGCGGGCTAAGTTTGGGCTGTGGGTTGAACGTAGGATCCTTCAACCTTGTCCGGAGATTATCTTGAGATAATCTCGTTTGTGAGGCCTAAATGAACTGCACAGGCTCAAGATACGCACACATTGGCCAAATAATTTTATCCTTCGGTGTAGTCTTTCTGCCAGTCGTAATCTGCAGGTCTCCGAGCGTCAGCCTGGCTCAGAAATTGGGAATGAGTGCGTTAGGAAGGAAGGGCACCCACCGAAATTACTTCTGGTGCTGACATTCTTTTTTTTTTTTTTTTCTTTCAGTAATGAATCAAAGCCACCATAGAAATATATACTGTTGCCTGCCTGGACTTTGGGGTCAGCTTCCTTTATCTGACCCTTCCTCAACTCAGCTTTTTATCCTCAGGAGAATATCTGGAATTTCCCTTATGGGAGTGGGGGATGGGAGATGAGGTGGGGAAGTGCAGCCGGCCCAGGTAAGTATGGGAGCCACATGGTCTGGCGAATGGAAAAAAGGAAAATCATCTCCAAATGCAACCAAGCAGGTGGGGGTAGAATGAAGCTGAAAGGGAATTGGGAATCTGAATGGCCCCGAACGCAGCAGACTCCATACCCGGCGTGAGGTGTGAGAAACAGTCAACATTTGGAGCACTGGAGTCAGAAGATTTTTGGCAGCTGTTAGATAACTTCCTGATCTGCAATAAAGTTCACATGACTGAGAGGATGTTTCCGCTACTCTGTTGCCTGGCTCTTTGCCTTTCTCTCCAAGTCTGCAGGTTAAGAGATTTTTCTGGGTCTCAATTGAATAATAGTGTTGGTTGAATGTGCCCCCAGGAGTCTTGGAGGCCTGAGGCTGCGTGGATGGGATACAGGCAGTTTGAAACGTACTAATCTGTTGCCTCCCCAGCTCTTAACTACAAAGTGACACTGAATCTTCTGTTTTCAAAATGGGGAAGCTTTGTGGCCCAGTGGGTAAAGCTGCCCGCTGCGATCTGACATCCCATATGGGCGCTAGTTTGAATCCTGGCTGCACCACTTCTGATCCAGCTCCCTACTGATTGCAGAGGAAAAGCAGCAGAAGATGGCCCAAGTACTTGGGCCCCTGCACCCATGATGGGAGACCTGGAATAAGCCCCTAGTTCCTGGCTTCTGTGGGGTCAGCCTCAGACCTAC